CTAAACATTTCAAAATGACTGCAGAAGCAAGCAGCAGCACCGCTCTCCAGACAAGGGGCTGGAGAGAAGGAATCCCTGCATGCCTCTGGTAGTTCTTGAGTACAGCTCAATGTACAGGAGAGCACTCATTAGCTGTCTGTCCTCCTTACCCTCCCATGGGGGTGAGGGAAAGCAGAGCACTGTGACATTCGGAGAACTATTGGAGCATGCAGCTGGTTCAGTAAGTGCTTCAAAGTTTTTCTTCTGTTTTCAGGGGTCATTTTTGAAGCACCCTGACCATTTCTGAAGCTTCTCTGGCTATGCACATCTGTATGCTCACTGTTTGGAGTGTTTCAAAAGCACTATGGACACTTCAAACTACACACATACTCATGGCCTTAGGAGAACAGTGATTGAAGCACTACTTTTCAAAATGCAACATTTGATCTAAAGACTTTGAAACGTTTTCTGTTTAGTGAAGGCACAAACAACTTTTTACTAACACGGGCAGGCAATTATTTTAGCTGGAGGGGCATCTTAATTAACTTAATTAGTTTTAATTAGTTTTGGTATCCTCTCAAGGGCCACATCTCTCTCTTCCTCCTCGGCCCCCTCCCCCTGCCTGGAACTGTAGCACACTCTGATCCCCATCCCTGACATGGAAGCTACTAGCCTCGTCCGCCGCAGAGATAATGCGTAACTGTTGACAGTGCCAAGGGCACAACTCTATGCTGCCCCTGCTGCTGCTGGGCACTTGGTTCAGCTGGGTTGCTGCCCTGCGCCCCACCATTGGCTTAGAAATTGTGCCACCACTGCCCCCTCTGCTGCCAGGCCCCAGCTCTGGCCAGGCCACAGCCCCACATCCCATGCTCTGCCTTTGGCACAGAAACTGCATCACTGCCACAGCCTCCACTGTTGCTCGGTGCTGGATCCAGCTGGGCTGCAGCCCTGTGCCCTGCTGTCAGTGCAGAAATCTGAGGGTGCCTGCCTGTGCGCCCCCCCCCCCCCTCCCCCATTACCTATGGTCCACAGTTTAAGCCAATACTCACCTGGTGTGGTGGAAGCGGCCCCAGGCAGGTGCCGGCATCAGCTGTGGATGCACCTGGCAGGTTCTGGTGGGGACTGGGGCATCTGCTGGCGTCCACAGCTGATGCCACCATGTTAGTGCTGAGTGGAAGCAGTCACTGTCACCCACTTGGCACAGCGGAAACAGCCTTGCCTGCCTGGCACCACACAGCAGCCAGAGCTGGAGCCACCAGTTGCCCGTAGGCCAGATGCCATAAGTTGATGACTGCCTGCCTGTGGGCCGGATACAATCAGCTGATGGGCTGGATTCAACCCAGGGGCCATATTTTGTCCATCCCTGTATTAACAGTAGAGATGTTTCTTAGCAAAGCTGCAGGTGCTGCCTCAGGTTTGGTGGAATATCTTCCAATCTCATAGTCTGGCCTAATGCTGTCAGAAATCTACCTGGAAAGCCTTTGGGTGGATATCTTTGTACCCTTATGGCTATAAAGAGTTAAGGTGATTTGAACTATCTTTGCAAATAAAAGGCTAAGAATCCTCTCACATCTGGAGCATGGAATAACACTTTGGATGTGAACAAATGAGACATCTGGAAAAATACAGCTAGATACTGGAGAGTATATATTGTTTAAAGCTTGGAATAAGTCCTATGGGAGATTTGTCTGGATGAAACATTGTGTAAAAGGATCTTCCATTACAGGTTGGATCTCTCTTACTCTTCTTCATGAAGTGAGCACCTCTGCACAACAAGTAAATAGGCAGCAAGACATTTCCAGATTTGAAAGGTGGACCCATCATTGTTGTAAGGATTACATTAATGTCTGACAGTTCGAATGAATCTTGTTCTGGAAGAAACATCTTGAAGAAACACCTTCAAAGCACTATCATGTGAGAAAGATTACAGGGATGTGTCACATGGAATAAGGGCCATGTGTTGCATCACACAACGTGAGGTTTCCATAAAGCTGAAAACCTTGTCCATATGACCATGTAGGTCTGCCTTATGGAGATTTTCCTGCTGCTTATCAATATGTCATTAAGAGGGGAAGATTATACTCAAGAACTACCCAGTAGCATCCATTCTGTAAAGTGGAAAGAGTTTAGCTGTAACTTGAGTATCCTCCCCTTGTCCTGACATGGTTGGTCTGGGAGCAACAACCTCTTGGAGCTGCGAAATGAGAAGTGCAGGATGTCAGGGAACAAGAACTGCCTTGGACTTTTTGGGGCTATCATGATCAATCAGGTTGGTTGAATCTTGTTTGACTTTACAAAGTACTCTGGGGATCAGAAAAGCTGGTAGATTTGTGTAGAGAATCCATTCCAAACAGTATTAGGAAGATATCAGACAGATATCCTGAATTTAGGATGAACAGACATGGCACTTTTTTGACAGGTTAACTTTGGGATAGCCCCAGACTGCAAACACATCCTGCAGGATGGTACAGAGGGATGCATCTGATTTAAGTATCTTCTTGGTGTTCTGGAGTCCAAGAAGTTAAATCATGGAGAGAGATATCTGATGACTGATGCACTGATTCCATAGCTTGATAACACATGTGTAGTTTCATTTAAGTAAATGGAGTTATACATGTGCACAAAGTTAAGTCTGTGTGCAGTGACACTTGAATGCAGCTATATTGCTTCCTGTTTGAAAACATGGCATCTCAGAGCAATACTCTTTGGTGCTGCAGGAACATTTGGGGTGGGTCAGAGTATAGAGGTGTAGCTCTAATTCCAGAACTAGCTTGTGTGAAGAGTTAGCTCTGGCATCTCTTCAGCACATCTGAGATGAGTACCATGAGGCAGGTAGACTGTAGGGCTGTGAATGGGGTGGGACAGAGGTTACCTTCAGGGCAGCAGGTGGTGCTGGGGGATAGATGAGTGGTGAAGATGTGTGAGGGGCTAGGGCTGGACTGTAGGACCTTAAGACAGTACACAAGGTTGAAGCAGGCTATGGTACTGTACAAAAGGGTAGGAGAAAGCAAGCTGTGGGGAAGCAACTTGAGTTGGGGACTGTGGCTTGTGGGGTCATGCAGGTGAGCTGGAGGTGGGTATGTAGGACTGCAGACATGGATGAAGAGAGGTGGGCTGGGGTAGATAAAGAGGTAACTTTGTGCATGACTCAGGGACATAGATAAATGTAGGGGCTATACATGGTCCCACAGTCTACCTTTCTGCTGACTCTAAGCATGGTCCTTCACAGCCCACTTATCTGTAGTTTCTAGTAGGCCTCGGAACATTTTGCACAAGCCGTGGTATCAAAAAGGTTGAATTACTGTACATACAATTATGTATTTCTGCTAGCATACTCAAACACAGATTTGTAGTAAATGATGTAAAAATTGATCATTTATCAATTCTATTTAGTACAAAATCTTAAGTCTGTAAATGATAACCACTTATAATTGATAGCAAATCAATTAGATACTTTACAAACAGATGACTAGTTTAAGTCATATTTTTGCCATTTTATTATTTTTTACAGTTCCTTTAAATCTACCCACAATTCCTTTATTCTACCCAATTCCTATAATCTACACACATTTTTATCTAATAGCATCTTATTTAAAGAAGCATTGCCAAGACAAATAAGTTGTGAAATTGATTGTTTTTGATAATGGTTCCATGTAAAAGAGCTAATCATTCAGGTGCTATCTATACATTTAATTTTCCAATTAATTTTTCTAAACACAGAAAACATTTAAAATAGTATGCAATTTTGTCAGACAAATACATACTAGACATGAACATAGAGACAACATAACAAAAAGAGTCTGTTAGATAAGACATAAAAATCATATAAATATATCACTGATTGGTTTTGCACTGTTAATTCTCTGATGATGAATACTCTACTTCAAATACACCTCTAGAACTGATTTCTTCTTCTTTAATGCCTGAAAATTATCAAAGTCCTTGAAGCCAAGAGTCTACTTAAGCATAAAGTGTAGTGCAGTTGGTTTCAGGCTACTGAAGCTATTTTCTTATTATGAATGTAGATTGGAATGGCTCTAATAGCTAGTTCCTTAATGATGTAATTTGCCATAGCTCTACTGAGGCCAATAGGGCTCTGCCAATGTGCAACAGGTGAAGATCTTGTCCTGGATATTAAAATACACATCGATAGTTCCGTAGGCCATAATTGGCAACTTTGGTGCAATATGATCAAATTACTGAGTGCTTTGAAAAACTGAGAATCTAAAGATGCAGGCATTTCAACTTAAGTTACGATTTTGTAAGATTGAAGAAGGCTAGGCTTCATCTGTATTTACGAGGGAGAACTCCCTGGAAAAATAAGTAAAGTAGAAAGCAATCTCCTCACAACCAATAATATTATGTTGCATATTATTTTAAACATTACTAAGTTGCTATAAATTTCAAACATTTATTTCCTGCAGTAAGCTAAATATATATAAACGTGTCATAATACAACACATCAATGGAAGGGCATACATTATTATTCCTCATTCCTGGCTTCATGATTTCATTTTCAGCTCCTAAAGTAAGATGTCAAATTTCTAAATTTTTCCAGATACATCTTACCTGAAATCTTTCTTGTTGATAAATGCAAAGAATTATTTTTCCACTATCAACAGAAAGCATGACTTGAAATCAAATCCCAGCATGCTCGCATAGCATAGTGCCTATGCTCATCTCTAACTAAGTGCAATGTGGGGGAGGTCCTTTTAATTTTCTCCCATCACAGATCCAATAGGTGAGTGTCTAATATTTATGGATTCAATCTTACAAGCCTTCCTCTATAGAAATCCTGAAATCAATAGGAATGCTTAAAAGTACAGGAGACAGTAGGAATAGATTCTAACTTTTTAAACTTTTAGGTCAAATTCTGCTCTTAGTGATACCAGTATTTAATATGGCGGAGCTGAGTGTCCTTCATTTATAGTAATATGATTCCTAGTCTTTTTAGAAAAATGGGTTTAAAACAAATCCACAAATTATTATTCCTCTTAAAAATTAAAAACAGACAAACTTACCTTAAAATAGTTACATAGTTCATTTGACAGGAAATTATGAAAAATCTCTCTTTCAGCAAGTTCAGTCAGACGATCGTGGAATACTCGGGTTGTTTCATGCACAAAGAGAAGGGCTGTGGTTTCTTTTGAGACAATAATTGACCGATGGGCTTGCAACAACCCTTGTAGCACCTGTTTGCAATTTTATATACAGTGTTTGTTTAACTTATTTGCTAACAAACATGTTGGTACATTTCTTTTTAAATATTGTAATGAGCTTTATGAACAGTAGTGTCATATGTTTTAATTAAAACCAAAGCATAAGCATATTTCTTACTTACAAAATACATTTACAAAAGCCAACAGCATTCCAGAATAATGGCCCCATTCCCTACATCTTCAAATAGGCTATAAGAGAGCTACATGGCTGCTAATTACTCCATAAGCTATCAAGGGACCAAGAAGGTGCAAGAAACTTCCTCTCACCTTGTGCTACCCACACACAGGATGGAGACACTGCAGTCCCACAGCTACAACCAAATTTTCACTATGACACTTGCCAGGAAGGTGGTATGCCATGGAAGAGAATACAAATTGCATGCCTTACATGGGTACTAACAGATATGTGTGTATGATGAACTGAACTAATGTAGCTGATGTTAACATAGATTGTGATAGTAGTGAAATATAACCATGTTAGTCTTGTCCTGTAAGTAGCTTGAAAACTCCATTTTGTATTCTTTTGCTTGATGTAAGTGAATGAACTCTGCATGCCCTTTTGCGAATGACTGTATGTGAAAGGGTGAATGGTGAAAGAATGGTATAGAGACAGGAAAAGAAGATTTAACTGTGTTTGTAAGCAGCAAGGGGCCAAATGTGTAAGTTACCAGTCAGTAAACTAAATAATAGATGGCTGAAGAATCCCTTTGAGGCCTAGGGCACAAAGGAGATAATGAGGAGGAATGCACACATCCTGCCAGATGGGCAGCAAGGACACTTCAAGGCTGAGATACTAACTTTTATGACCAAACTGATCTCGGGCTGAGATAAGCAGAAGATGGATGAGAAACAACTGCAAAAACAGAAATTGAATCTGGGAAAACCCCAAAGTGCAAAACAAAGAATGCCAATCCCCATAAAAGAGGACTGTGGAAAATACCGGGTTGGGTGAGTCTCTCTCAACTGCTGCTTTCTTCAGAGCACAGATGCGTTTGTTCACCCTGCTCCAGCTGCTACCTCCATCTTCTCTCAATAGGCCTGGGCTGGTCACCCAGTGCCCCTATTGAGAAACTGCTGCTGGTAACTATAATATCTGAATGGAATGGTTTGTGTATGTCTCTGTGTAATGATGTGTATGATGATTTGTGTGCATCTGTATGAGTGGTGTGTCTGAACCTCTATGTCTAATTCACGTCATCAATAAATGTGGCATTTTGCCTTATCCCCCTTTATAAGGTCTTGCTCTTGATTTGATAAATTGGGAATTCAAAGTAACATGTGTTCCCCAATCAACAGCAACTACAGCAAGTATGTCCCTCTGAGATAGAATGGCTTTAGAGTACTTACTGAGGTAGCACAATTCACACCTGGCCCTAACAGTGCTATCAGAAAAAGCCACACTAGTGACCATAATATTTTAGACAGCCTTGCCCTTTAGCATAAGAAATGCACATAACTGCCTGAAGTTCTAAGCTTTTTGGGGAACTGTACAGTTTTCAACTCACTAGATAATGTGATCTGACTTTCCAATATAGTACTAGAATTAGAGGCAACTTCAGTTTTGATAATTTCTCTGCCCCCATCTTACCCGGTAGCATAAGGTCCTACAAATTCTAAAAGGAGCCTTATTTATTACTCTAGAATGTAATAGAAAGCTTGATTTCCCTAGAATGTCCTTTATATGGAATCTTATACTTGTTGCTATTATGTTTATTAAACTTTTTAATGTTGTTACATTTGTAAACTTTGTAAATTAATAATTTTTCAGGCTAATCCAACCCTGGTATAACTGAAGGCATAACTCCAATAAATAAACAATAAAAAATAGGTCATTCTTGATTGAAACGTGTCAAAATTGTTTACTTTCTAGATATTTGTTTATAATGTCAGTACATCTTTTTTTACTGAATTAAATAAAGGTAAGATGCAGTTTACATACAAGCACACAATTATATATTAAGAAAAAATGCAATGTGTTTGACCACTGATCAAAAGGTCAAAGGTCTATTTGAGCCTTGATAACTCTTTAGGGTAGCATGGTTTTGGCATGCCAGTCTTAGATGGCATAGCAAATACTTTTAAGATTGTAAAGTTTGAGTGTTACCTTTACCATAGTTTGTTTTCCCTTAGGTATTAATAAGCAATTATTAAGGGAGGCATACTAATCTAGGAATAAATAAACAAAGCAAATAAAGAATAGATAGAATTGAAATTTATACACCTATTTTTATGTAGTACCTAAACACCAAGTTCAAATTACTGCAGGGCTCCAGATGGGAAGGCTAGATTCAATTAAATTCCAAAAAATTAGCTAGATTCAGGATACAGCATTGCTTGCAATGATTGTGCTAGATTATTCTGCACAAAAGTTCAAAATATTTTATGGCAATAACAAACATGTAATGTAACGTAGCATACCTTGAAGAGATCTCTTAGATTAAATGTGTAGTGACACTTAGCTGGAGTAGGAAGCATTCTGTGGCACATATTATAGTATATAGCTATGGAAGAGGATGTTAAAAGATCACTGCATTTCTGGACCTCATATAAGAATCTATTGTTATACAGGTATGTTCCCAGATGAACCTAAAAGAAAGAAATTAATCTAAATTTGTGTCTGTTCTTAAGAAAATTTTAACCATACTGCTGATTCTGAAATAGAGCAAACTACACATGATAGAAAACAGCTAATTGTAATTTTCACTATTATTTTATTAGGAAATCATAGAAAAGTAGGGCTAGTAGGGACCTCCATAGGGTCATCTTGGACAGTAAAGAAGTTTTACCTTATGTCCAGCCTAAAATGGTCTTGCAGGAGTTTGTGACCGTTGGACCTTGTCATCCCCTGCGGTGCTCTGGTGAACAGGTGTTCCCCCAGATCCTGATGCACACCTCTTACATACTTATAGGCTGCCACCAAGTCACCCCCGAGCCTGCGCTTCTCCAGACTGAAGAGACCCATAGCTCGCAGCTTCTCTTCGTAAGGCCTGTTCTGTTGCCCTCTGATCATGTGCATGGCTCTCCTCTGAACTCTTTCAAGCTTCTCCACATCCTTTCTAAATTGTGGAGCCCAGAATTGGATGCAGTACTCCAGCTGTGACCTCACCAAGGCCAAGTACAGCGGAAGGATGACATCCTGGGTCTTGCTCGAGGTGCACTGGTAGATGCAGGCCAGAGTTTTGTTTGCTTTGCCAGCTGCAGCATCACATTGGTGGCTCAAATTCATCTTGTGGTCAATTATGACCCCCAAGTCTCTTTTGGTCATGGTGCTAGCAAGCATTGCCAAGCCTATAAACGTGATGCCGGTTTTTATTCCTGAGGTGGAACACATTGCATTTCTCCGTACTGAATGCCATCAGGTTTTCATCCACCCACCTTGCAAGCCTATCAAGGTCAGACTGGATCACCAGCCTATCCTCAAGCATGGAGACTCTTCCCCAAACTTTGGTGTCGTCAGCAAACTTGGCCAGTCCACTTTTGACTCCAGTGTCCAGATCGTTTATGAAGACATTAAGGAGTACAGGTCTGAGAATGATGACTAGTGGTGAACCCCAAGGCTCCAAGTGCCATGTTGATTTGGTTCCATCAACTACCACTCTCTGGGTCCGACCTCAGAGCCAGTTCCCCAGCCATCAGACTATGGAATAGTTGAGGCAAAAGTTGCCCAATTTTTCCATGAGGTCAACATGGGACACCAAGACAAAGGCTTTCTTAAAGTCCAAATATATTACTTTAACCTCTTTCCTTTTGTCTTTGATTGTTATTTATATGCATTCAGCAGTAATCAATTTTTTCTTTTTTTCTACAGTCCAGGATGAGAAGGCAGCACATATTCAGTGCTGAAGCCCTGCACAGGTAACGGGGGATGACAGCGACACATCCACTGATGAAATCTTATCCCAAGGCAGTGAGGATGCTGACTTTGTTCCAGATGTGGGAGACTGTTCAGAGCAAGAAGGCCATGTGTCTATGGAAACTTCATCCAGCTCAGATGAGGAGGACTTGGTGCCATAAGCAGAAGTGATGGGAACACTTCCAGGGGCAAAGGGAAGAGGACCAGCCTGGGGCCACCGTGGAGTGCTACAGCAGGACGTGGAACAGAACCACTGCCACCACCCACAGAAAACATTGCAGATGATGAGAACTTTAAAGGAAGGAATGGCAGTGTGGGAAAAAAAGTCCATAGCTAATACGTCACTGGAGAATGGCCAAGGACATAGTCCATGAAAGGTTCCATAAGATTCTGTCTAGAAATCTATTCCATTAGCCAGCTGACTTAAGCTATGCTTTGGTAGCTTATTAGGAGGGAACGGTTACTTATTGCGACAGGGCTCAACCTCCAGGGCCTGGTCATAGTACCGACCTGCTCACCTGCCTAGGGTAGTTTGCACAGTCTCACTGCCACGCCTTGTTATTATCATAGTCGTTGTAATAGTGCGGGAGGCTGCCCATTTAATGCCCCGATGACTAGGACTTTACACATGGCTCCAACCTTCCCTTACCATGTCCCATACCTCACAGATGGAATCCAGATTATCATCACATCTCTGGTTTAAGACCAGGTCAAATTCGGTCCTATGTTGGGCCTGTCACTCTGCCCTTCACTGGGCTACATGCATACCACCTCCCTCTCACTGGGGCCTCTCTCACTCTGTCCACTCTCACTGGGCCTCTTTCATACTGCCCCTCACTGGGCCACTCTCTTCCTGTCCTGCTCCATTAGCAGCCCCTCTCTGGCCTTTGGGCTAACCTACTTTCATGCTGGCCGGTCCCCAAGCCCTCTGGGTTGCTCGAGCTTCCCTACTCTATGTGGCACTGGCCTTAAGCCTCACATAGGGCTGACAGCCTCTAGCCCCACTCTAGGTTCCTTGGCTCCCCTTTCTGGGGCCACTGGGGTCTTGAACCCCCTATGGGACTCAGGTATCACAGACATACCTGGCCCCTTCCTGTCCCCTCATGGGGACCAATTCCATGCCCCATCCCTGGGGCCTGGGGTCTGATACCCCATAGGCTCAGGTATCCATAGACGTGCCTGGCCCCCTGCTCTTAATTACCCACCAGATGGTGGGAGCTGGGTTTATAAGGTGCCCCTACCTGCTTTTCACTGGGGAGGAAACTGGCCTGGCATTTCTGGAGAGCTACCCCACCACAAGCATCCCCACCAGGCCATCCTTCCCGAGCAGAGTGCAGTTTTCAGTCATACCCAGGATCAGTGCATGCCTACCTGACTTTGGTCTAATTCTCTCTCTAGGGACCTGAATGTAGCTCTTGGGCTGCTCTCTCTCCTGGGATCATCTCCAACACTGACCCCCTTTTGGAATCCTCCCCTCCAGAGGATTGCATGAAGTATTGCATCCTTCTTCATCACAGCCAGCATGCTGACTGACCTCTATCCTCTGTTGGCTGTGATATCCCCCACCTCAAGAGGACCTTTAGCCTATATAGGCTCTGGCTCCACCTCCAGGCTAGTTGGGGTGCCAGATGGCTCTCTGCAGACTTGGCCTGCCCCTCGTGGTGGGCTCAATTGCCCTTCAGCCTTACAGCCCTGGCCCCCTTACATTGACTAGTCGAGGGCTTCAGAAACTCAGTGTGGTAGCAACTGCTCTCCATACTCCAGAGGGGATCCCCCTCTAGGCCCCACCATAGAGCCATCACCACAAGCTGGGCTGACCTAGTGCCCTAACAAAGTTGGATGAGGCTTAGTTCCCCTGGGCTCACCTGAGCCCTCTGATTTCACCCCTGCCCTATCTAATCAGGGCCTGCCTAGCCTCTGCATAGGCCCACAAGTTGTAAGCCCCCTTTCTAGGCTAGGGCTTGCTTTCTCTAGGCTCAAGCCTTCTTTCTGGGGCTTGGGACTCTACTGGGCCCCCAGGAACTTCCTGCCCTCCCCATAGTACCTCCCTTACCTCCAAGGTGTTCCGAGCAGCAGCTCAGCCAGATGTTGTTCCAGCTGCCAGCAGCAGACTGCTGGCTCAGCCCTAATGCCTGAGCTAAAATTGGGGCTGTTCAGTCCTCTCCTGCAATCACATGGTCCATCCAGTGACCATGTGGCCACCTCATCAGGGCTGTCCGCATCTGCTGGTTCCCTTGCTACCTGCTCTTGCCCTTAGAGTGGTAGGCACCAAAGGTGCTCTGCCACACTTATAATATAGTAACTGTGGTTCTTTGGTTCAAGTTGTCCATATAGATTCCATTCTTGATAAGCATATGACCTTTGTTTGTGAGATACGTCTTTTTGTTGGCTGCACACTACCACCTGAGGCAGAGCAGAATTGTCCCAATCATAATTGTAATGTGTTTATTCTGGCTATCATAGATATTAACTGCAGTACAATTGTTAGCATGTATTAGCAGCATATAAACTTTCCAAGGCCCCTGGGTATGTACTCTAGTTATTAAAATGTGCTTAGGTTCATGCTATTGCATCTTTATTGCTATTGTTACTCCTATTAGCTAGATTAAAGTAGCACAAGTGTGCTAACATGTGCCTTCAGTTTCTTTACCAATACAGGATCCCATATTAATAAGACTCTGTAGTAGCATGTGAAAAGGAAAGTCCTGGATTCTGTGTGGACAGTACATCAGAATTTATTGTATGGTACATAACCATTCTTTTTTTTTTCTTTTTCTAAGTGACTGGCCACATTCACTTCTGGTGACTACTTTGGTTTCTGACTGACTTCAGACTGACATGGCTAACTACCTCTCTTGACCAATGAGTGGTCACATATTTCTTTGGGGGCAGGTAAGAGGAGTCCTTAAATAATGAATGTAAGATGGCCCCATCACAATTGGTATGCACTAAGAAACAGATGCTCTACAAATTTCAGGTAAATGGACAGTCACCAAATAGGTGGCAGAAGTTACCTTAGACATAGTGAAATTACCTGATTGGCTCAAAGCTGGCTAACTTTAAATTTGTCCTTATATAGATGGAGACCCACTTAGATAAGCTTTCTGAGGATATAGCTTTCCTCATACAACTCTCAATATAAGCCACAAATAGTTTGCATATTCTTGAATAATTTTGTCATAAGTAAAAAGACGGATCTAATGCTACCTCAAATGTACCAGTGTAGCTGTCTTCAGGAATAGACAGAAGAGGATTGGTTTACATGGAACTCAGAGACAACCTTGGATAGAAACTTGGACTGAGCCTATCTTTACTAACCATTATATAATACTTGCCATGAGGGCCTGAATCTGTTCTACTGTTTCAGTTAACAGAGTGGCTACTAAAAGATACACTTCATTTATGATTATATAAGGGAACAGTGGCTAACAGCTCAAATATAGACTCATCAACCCTACTATATTGAGGTCACAAGAACAAAGGGTTCCTAAACTGAAGGGAACACCAGTGAGCCCTTACAGATTCTTATTATTTTTTTCCATTTCTCAATAACATGGACTGGAGAACAATGTGTAGAAATCATGGATAAAAGAATCCTTAAGTAGCTGATGAAAAGAACAGAATATTTCAGGACTGGCAAAAAGTACAATTTGCTAATACTGGTGAAGCAAAGAGAGGCAGCTAATGTTGAAAGACCTAGATAATAAGTCTTTCCTATTCAGCTTTGTGAGTC